ATGTAATTCTACATCTGCCAAAAAATTAAAAAGGAAGGAGAAAATGCCGTGTTGGACCCAAAGTGAAGCTATTTACACGAAGTTTGCTTTGAGCACCAAAGTGTCGCCTACCAATATATCAGTTTCTGTGTTGCGTCATATCGATAGAACTACTAATTCCGACCACTGCAACATAAGTTAACTAGATTAGGTGGGGAGAAACACTTCTAGTGATGACTAAAAATGACACACGGATTATTCTGGTATACGCCTAGATGCTCCGCATTTCCTAAGGTAGCTTTACGCCAAAAACACGCCACACATAGATGGTTTGACGGTAGACGGGTGATGACTCGTTGCACATTTCTTCGGATCGTCATTATATCGGGGAGCATGAAGAGGAAGAAGAAAGGATTAACGAGAACCTAGAAGTAGTTGCGTAATCACATGAAACAAAGTTCACTTCTCGTCTAACACGACTAGTGCGGTTCGTAATCCCACAAGCAATCGGGTGGCGCGAGCTCAAAGTACGGCACTAAGATATGGCACGTCGTGACAATGTGGCAAACGTCTTTTGAGACACTTTCCATGGACTGAATATGGCTTTCTGACTTGATTTCGGAATGAGGAAGCTTATCCGAGTAGCTTGTCACCATACCTTTCAGAACAACACCCAAGGGTTCAACCTATCAGGTGCACGTGGAATAATCAGTTGTTGAAAGCTCATATGCGATGAAAATACGAAAAACGAACCAGCGGAGACAGATATAATACATTTTAAAATATAACCACAGTTCTTGTCGGATAAACTTGTGCACGAGTAACCGTTAAATTTTCAATCCGGCATCTACTGATGTGTAACTTGACAATGAATCAGTGGATGTATGTCCGTGACGGATAAGCCTATTATCAATTGCTGGCACGATTTCATTTGAAAATATAGAGAAACACCTACTTTCAGAGTGATGGGATGGCGCAACAGTTGCCAGTCTGAATCGTGGGGAAAATGCGTGTAGATCAGTTGTCCCGGATTTGCCAGAAAATAAAACATGTCCAGACCGTAGCGCACATTTTCTGGACTTGGTCGCTTCCCTATCAGTCTACGGGCAGCCCAATGACAATCAACGAGGCGCCAGACTTTATCCACAAGAACGGCATTCCAAGAATGTTGACCTTGTCGTCCGGAGAATTGCATGCCTGGTGCATATTCGGCTCCTTTTGCATATCCAATGAGTAGTTTACAGTGTAGACCAGCATATCTGGTTTGATACATTAGGAGGGAATGAGAAAACAGACCGGAATAAAACGATAAACCAGTAAAATAGAACTCCAGTTAAAGAGCCTAAAAC